TGAAACCACCTATCGATGACTACAAGCACTAGAGCAAGCCGAAGACATGCCACCGACATCGCCCCTCCCTCGCCGGAGCTAGGAAAACCTTGTTGTAGTAGACAGTAGGGAAGTCGTCATGCTAGGGCCCCATAGGACCAGCGCACTAGAGCAGCAACCATCGCTAATGAGGAAACTTGTAGATTGGAAGGACGAAACATGTAAACGACCAAATGAAGACGAACGAAGACTGGATCCAAATAGATCCAGCGAAGACAAACACCGACCGAATCCCGCAAGATCCGACGAAGACACACCTCCACAATCACTCCAATGAAGCTAGATGCACCTTCAGGATAGGGATAGAATGTGGGAGACATTATTCCCACTAAGGGACATCGCCGCCGCTACATATCCCCAACCAAGATGTTGAACCTCCGAGAACAGTGTCCCTCCCACAGGTGGGGGCCGAGGTCCTCTGCACCTCCATGCCCAAAGGCCATTGAAGATGAGGCGGACCGGCGGCGCCGCGGATGGGAGGAGGAGGAAATCCTTTTTTTGTGAGGGAGGAAAGAAAAGTTGTTTCTTGATTTCAAATTGATAACCAAAATTAGAAAATTTTGTTCTACTTAAGCTAGATTTGCACATTTTCAAAAACAATATGGGTCTAACAAACCGGGGAGCATCGATGCACAATAAGCATCGAGACATTTGGACAACCTGTGATAGAAAACAAGAAGGGAAATTTTGTAGCACCACAACCTTTTCTATTTCCTTTCCGATAAATATTTGCCGCACATGCACATGCTATGACAAATTTTCTCGCACATGTTATAACATATATTGACTTCATTTTTTTTACTGGCCATCTCTATAGCCCGACCTTGTTGAACAAATCTGATGTTATTTTTTTTACTGATTGGTCAAATAATCATGACTTAAACTCTTCACGGTGGTGCAGTGCCAACTAGATGTACTACTTACATGAGCATTAAGTAAAACTAGGTGATTGCCCATGCGTTGTAATGGGGAGATACATATTCTAGTGGTTCAACATCAATCATGCTCGGCATATACATTACACGATAGTATTCTAGAGTTTGATAAGATTTGATTTCAATATGGGTAGGGGGAGACAAGGAAAGTTTTCATTTAGTGGATGTTTTGGTAAGATTTGATTTTTTTTTGTATGGAAGGGCAAGGCAAGTAAGTCTGGGTTTAGTTGCGGTTTTGGTAAGATTTTTTTATTTGCTTGAGGTAAGCATGACATGATTTTGGTAAGATGTGATTGACCTTAATGCAGAACATGGTTTCCAATTGGACAAGGAAAGGAAAACACCAATTTGGTTCAGATTATTCTAAACCAAGGGGAGGGGGCGATGAAACCACATTTGATGACATACAAACACCAACTCCCCTGTAATAGTATGCAATGGGATCATACATATTCTAGTTGTTCAACATCATTTGTGTCCGACATACATTACACCCACCATATTCTAAATTTTGATAAGGTTTGATTTGATTTAGGTATGGTTAGTGTAAGGCAAGGAATTTTTTCATCTAGTTGAGGTTTTGTTTAAATTTTTATTTGATTTGATTGAGTTAATGTAGGACATGATTTTCTTAAGATTTCATTGAGTTAATGTCGAACATGGTTTCCAATAGGACAAGGAAAAGAAAGCATCGAATTAGTTTACGTTAATCCAAACCAAGAGGGAAGGAGGACCAAACCACATTTGGTGACGTACAAACACCAACTCCCCTTAAACAAAATCACTAAGTAGGGCCATCCTTTGCAAAGGTCACACACACACCTCCTTAATTAGGTGGTGACAAGTGGTGCATCGTATGCATGCCACTTGTCGCAACCACAAAGTTTTGTTGGGTTTCCTCACTCCACGTGTGGAGGATGGGAAGTTGTCTATTTGTGTTTTTCTTCTTCTTAAATTTGTTTTCCAAAATGATTTATCTCGTCCAAATCATGAACCATTTTCACCTTTGTGTTTCTCACATCAAGATTTTTAAAACTAGATCCCATGTTGATAGATTTTGACGAACTTCTTTCCTGTCCTCCAAAACTGTACATAGCCATGCTTCGAAAATTGTACTAAACAACAGTTCAAAGTACTCAATGAAACCAGGAAAATGTGTTTTAGTTTTTTGGGAAGTACAATTGTGTTTTTGCATGCGAGTAGCACAAGTGTGCCTCATAACGAAACCCAAACAGATTAGAAACCAGGAAAAATTATAAAATCAAAAGGAAACCAGAAAACAAAAAGTGTAAACCAAAAAATCAGAGTCTGAAAAAACCAGAAATAAAAAACCAGGAAAAAAAGAAAACAGAAAAGTGGAGACCAAGAAAGGAAAATTGAAAAAACCAGAAATTAGTAATAGAAAAAGGCGAAGACAAAATACCAAAAACCGAGAGAAATACTAAAAATTGTATAAGAAAAATTAAAGGGCATGGGAATAGATAGAAACTCTTGAATCAATGAGAATTTGGTTCACCCCACACTTACCCATCATGGACAACATGCTTTTCCAATTTCGGATACCGCTCCCCCATTGCATAAAGTAAACATAGGGTTTTTCGAGAAAAACCAGAGTACCTTGTCTCAAAAGGTACTCTCGTACTAGGGAAATGTTCCCTCATTGCTCTAACACCCATGCATAATATTGACTGAATTGTCTCACGCTCACAAAAGCACACCCGTGCTTCACTTTTTCATAGAAGCGCAATCTTACTTTACTTTTAAAAGAAGTGCTTCAAGCCATGGGGTTTATTTTTTCTTTAAGAAAGCACAATTATGGTTTCACGTTAGAAGCACAACAACGCTTCACGCGGAAACATAACCATGCTTCACGCGAAGCACTAATGTGACTTTTCTGCTTCTGGCAGACACGGGAAAAATGAAGAAACAAAAAAACACGAAAACAAAAACCCCAAAAAATGATAATAAAAAACCCAAAAAACATAAAAACCGCAGAAATCAAGAAACCAACGAAAAGCCGAAGAAAAAACCATCCGATGTGTGCTAGGGCAAGCCCACATAGAAACAATGTCTGCTTGGACACCCAACAAGAGGTGGAGTACCCCCAATTAGTTGCTCCTTTTAATAGTAGAGATTGAGAGAGAAACATAATACACTATAGAAAAATCACTTGTTGCCGTGTATTTCCTCGTAAGTTGAGTGTAAAAACACGGCTTAGGCCTCCCTCTCGGGTTACGGATGTGCCACGTGGCACCATCGTTGTTGGCTGTTGGCCGTCATACTGCTTTTTTCGCCGAGAGCCACGTTTTTAACCCTGACTTATATATAAGCCGACCGCCCGTGAATTGACACTCAGCTTACAAGGCCTAAGCTGGAATAAATGAAGCCGGGCCATATGCCGAGTGTAACACTCGACTTATACTTCGCCCAGGTTAAATCGGGGTTCGCTGAATATGTTTCATACTCGGCCTCATCTTTTTTATGTAGCGACAAAGCGACATGTCGAAAGTAAATTGCCCTCATGAGCCCATAGTCCGGTAAATCCATAAACAACCTGAACCAAGGCAGTGTGTATGGCAAATGACCAAATAGATCTTTGCAAGGTCATTCTACAGGCAAGCCTAGTAGTATTAGCCTGATTATTGACAGCAGATTACTAGTAATGCTTTAGGCTTGGGTCTCTGTATTAGTCTAATATGTCATTTTTTCCATTTTCCTTTCTCATAAAACTGCCACGCACTCCATGCTAGCCAAACCAGCCGCCATCCCCTACAGAGAAGGGAATTAGAGGCAACCAGAAGTCCAGATCTACTCCCGCAAAAAAAAAAGGCCAGAACTACCATTAACTTGTTTTAGAACAACCGTCAGCTAGGCATATTGCTTCGAAGGAGTAAGCAAGCACTCGGACTAAGAATGAAACATATAAGAAATCATAACATAAGATACACGTAGGTCGCCGTTACATCATAGTAGATTGCTCCACTAACTACTTAGTACTTCCACTAGAATCATGTAGCCCCTTTATTAGGAGGCGCCTAGTAAAAACCCTACTTTTTTTTTTTTTGAACAAAAGACGGGTCCAGAAGGACCCTGATGCTGCATTAACACTGAACATGAAGTACACAGCATTTTACAGACGGACCCAGAACTAACTGCAAATAACACACTGGTCCCTGTCTTTTACAAAGAGGACCCCAACAACCAGATAAGAAAAGCAATCGGGTCCTTGACATCTTCTGCACGGCCGTAACTTCGCCGTCGCCGGGGACATTGCCACTTGGGACAACTAAGCTTCCATGGCACCACGCCATAGACTCCGTGCAGAAGATGAGCTGCCTCCCTTTAGGCATCTTGGCCGGGAGGAAGAAGTAGAAAGGCCGCCCTTCGGCCAGCATGTACGATGACGTGATGGAGCCGGCCGGCCGCCGAACGCCGTAGCTGGCGCCAAGGCCACTCCCAAACAGCCACCGGATAAGAGCACTGACCCGATCTGGTTCTCCATCTCTTCTACTCTTCGTCTTCACCACCACGGCGACGCCACGAGCTAGAGAAGTAGCGGAAAGCCTCCAGAACAGGGGACCAGACGAGCTTATTGGTGGATGAGCCAGCAGCACGCCCCTCGGCAGCGACTGGCCGCCAGCCAGCCTTGCCTGAGACGCAGCCGCCGTGAGCCACCAGCCGCTGCTCGTACGCGGCGGCGGCGCTCTCCACATCGGCATACAGCCATACGCCACATGGGCACTACTCGACCTCAACCTATACCTAGACTCTATATACATAGGACAACGCCATGCACCTCTCCCGTCTCCGCTCCGGCCGGCGTCGCCGTCGGAGAAGATAAGGGATCGGGCCGGGAGCGGTGGAACTCTCTCGACTCTCAACGGGGGCTGGTGTGGAGTAGCTCCGCCTTCTTTACGTAAAAACCCTACTATGAATGAGGAGAAACACAAATGATGTGAAATAGTGGAATGAAGAGACTAAAAAATGCGTGCTGGGCTCCGATTCTAGGTTGTTCGAAGAGGAAATTTAGGGGTATCCGCCACTGCCAGATCCGGATCCGCTACCTCCACCGCCGCCGGACCCACCATTGTTGCTGCCGCCGCCACCGCCACCTGTTCCAGCACCGGTTCCAGTGGCATAGCCTTGACCATAGGAGCCAGTGCTACCTGTCTGTCCGCCTCCAATGCCAGAGCCAGAACCAACTCCCATACTTGGACCTTGAGCTACGCCTCCACCTTGGCCACCACCGTTGCCGCTACCTCCTCCGCTGGCATTGCCTCCAGAAGTGTCATCGCTGGCAGCCTGTCCAGCTCCAGCGCCATTACCACCTCCATTTCCACCGTCACCGCCACCACCGCCGTTACCACCACCGCCAGCATCAGAGTAGTTCACACCACCAGCAGAAGGAGCCGGTGCGGTGGCTATGCCACTCTCACCATATCCTTTGCCAACACCCTTTCCGGCTCCAGATCCGCTCGACCCATCTGCGCCACCACCTCCACCACCGCCCCCACCTTGACCATCAGCATTGGCGTACCCATTGCCACTAGAGGCTGACGCCGAGCCACTCGAACCAACAGCGTTGCCACCGCCAGAGCCGGAACCGGATCCGGATCCACCTTGAGAACCACCGCCAGCACCGTGCCCCCCTCCTCCACCAAGTCCCTTGGCAAAGTTATACTTGTTATCGGAATCTCCACCACTCTCTCCATACCCCAAGCCACCACCTCCTCCGGCCCCATGCCCCCATCCACTCCCACTCTCACCCGGCAAGCTGCCACCGCCGCCGCTTCCCCCGCCTCCACCTCCAGCACTTGAGCTAGCCAGCATCCTCGAAGCATTGGTGAACCCAATGCTCATCACGAGGACAACAAAGCCAAGAGCTACAAGCTTAGTGCTAGTAGCCATTGTGAATTGTGACCGAGAACTCGGTGGAGTCTGAGATGAGTTGGGTGTTGAAAGAAGAGAGGGTTTCGTGGGTATATATAGTAGTGGAAGCAGTGCATGCGTGTTTGCTGCTGAGTATTGGATCTTACACGCAGAAGGCGCGCACGGTAGCATGCATGCACACCGTTGACTGCACTGAATGCATCGATCAAGCAAATCTCTACATATCTTTCTTTAATCTCTAATTAATTGATGAGAACTGGTCAGCTGTCGAAGGGACTGAAGATACGTACTGACGCTTGGTTGAGGATTGGGATTCCATCTCCTGACAGACAGATTAATTAATTCTTCTCTTGATACGACCACATGTAATTTAAGAACCATGATGGTATTGTTTTGATCGATACTGATGATGTGCTTTCTGGGAAAACACCCGTAATCTAGTTTTGGGTTGCCTAAAACCCTTAAGTTTTAGAAAAACCTTTAGAAAACGTCTGTGTTGCAAAAAATTTTGTGTCAGTTATTTTCATTTAGATTGGTTCTTATGTGTTGAATCATAAAGTTCAAACCCTATACTTAGGTCCCTCCGAATGCTCCGCCTTATACAGGTGCTAAGCCTACCATATAGATGGGGAAAAATGATGTGACAAGTTAATTAAGAGGAGAGAGATGAGTGTGATGATCCCATAAAAAAACAATGCCAAGCGCGTGAACCTAGGTAAAACATTTAATTGAAAGAAGACCACCAATGCATGAAGAACTTTAGTTGCTAAATCATTAAGACTACCCACAGTGGGGGTAATATAGATGATAACATCACACATATCTAGACAAAATAGATGATGTGGCCAGTAACTAATGAAGAAAAAGAGAGGCATGTGGTACTCCCTTCGTCCAGGTTTATTAGACCCCTCTTATTTTGGGCTAAAGTTTGACTTAAAAATTTAACTAACAAAATATATATTATATGTCACAAAAATTATATTGTCGGAAAGCTCTTCCAAATACAAATCCAACAATATAAATCTTTTATATCATATTTTTAGTAGTCTATTATAGATGGTCAAAGCTTGACCCAAAATATGAAGAGGCCCAATAAATCAGGACGGAGGTAGTAACATAGCTAGTTACTCATATTATGAGTAACATCACACATATCAAGACAAGATGTGTCTATAACATAATAATTAATAAATGAAGTGTTGCATGACACCATCCATATGTTACTCCAAACTGGAGGTACTAACATATGCATGTTACTAATCTAAATTACTCCCCATTGTGGTTAGTCTAAGACTACCCACAGTGAGAGTAACATAGATGGTAACATCACATATATCTAAGCAAAATAGATGATGTGGCAAGTAAATAGTGGAGAAAGAAAGGCGTGTGGTAACATAGCTAGTTACTCGGCTGGTTATAGTGGGACTAACATAGATAGTAACATAGATGCCATATAAGCAAAAATAATGATGTGACAAGTAGTTAATGACGAGAGAGGCAAATAGAGTAACATAATATGTTACCATCATATAATGCTTCCCAATGCAAAATGATTCTACAAAGTAATAAATGAAGACATCTATATTAACACATCTATGACCCTATCCACTATGAATATAGTAACATAGACTAGTAACATATGCATGTTACTCGTCTAAGTTACTCTCCACTATGACTAGCCTCATAGTATGAGTAACATCACACATATCAAGACAAGATGAGTCTACAACCTAATAATGAAATATTGCATGACATCACGCATATGTTACTCTCCACTACAGAGGTAGTAACATAGACTAGTAACATATGCATGTTACTACTCTAAGGCCCTGTTTGGTTCCAAATAAGTCACCCAACTTATAAGTCATAAGTTGCTCCACCCCAACTTAAAACTTATAAGTCACCCTCTTTTGCATGATTCCCACCACCTTTACATAAAAAAACAAGGTGGGAAGATGTGCTCAGGTGACTTATAAGTCCGGTGACAACCAAACAGGCGTGACTTATAAGTCACTGGTTTTAAGAGTCGGGTGACTTATTGGAACCAAACAGGCCCTAAGTTACTCCCTACCGTGGCTAGTCCGAAGAGAGAGCTTAGCTACAAGAAGCTAAGCACTTATATGCATTGGAGAGTATAGTTGCTAAGCTATTTAATGTGTTTAACACCTCATTTAAGCACCGGTGTATTGGCAGCAGCATGTGCATAGGCGAAAGGATCGGATCGCAGATACAGATTGATATCTTGCCTCGAGATTTGTCCCTCCGCCACGTGAAAGAACGTGACTTCCCTTGATCGATATTATGACCTCACGGTCGATTGCACAGTGACCCATGCATGAACTGGAACCCGTGGATCCCAAAGATCGGTCTAAGGAGATGTAGATCACAGGGAATCCTTTGACATTGCAGTTATGCATGTCACTTGACCATTATCAATCATGAACGCCGCGGATCTATATAACAAGAAGAACAAGATACATACAGTACGTATACCGTTCCTAATGCATTGTCTTACTGTTAATTAGTACCAACAGAAAATGATGTATTGTATGGTTTTGTACTTTTGTTTAAATAGTGAGTAACAACTTAATGAAACAGTGACTCGCCTAAACCGTAAGGTGCATGCATTACCATAACACCAGTACTCCTACATCTTACTTCCTACAAGCACATGAACTTGGCATGCGGAAGATGGAGCTGTGCTCTGACCGTCCGACGTCGGTTTTCGCCGTCGGTGCATGCAGTTTGAGAAAGGCTCCAGCTAGCCCCACGCTATAGCCACTAGACGAGTAGAGTTAATCTTCTGGTAGGCGGCGAAGGAGAGTGCTCACTTAGATTAATTGCATACTACTCGTAGGATTTAAAGCTAACAGCGGCGACCTAGGGTTTATAACACTCTAACGCGTCCTCGAAGTTCAGAAATTAGACCACGTAGTACTGTAATATACAGACAGGAACACACTTGGAATATGCTATCTCACCGAGAGTTGACCTACCATAGGCTTACGATTTTGTATTCGATTATCCACCAGCATGCGAGATCCTAATTACTAGCAAAGCCATTGTTCCTAAGAAGGCCATATTTCTTAATTGATAATTCATTCATCATCTATTATGTCAGTGCAAAGAACACCGGAGGTTACAAAAATTACAATCAGGTTGATAGATCACCTAGCGACGATTACACACCCTAGAGCGAGCGAAATGGCGTCGTCATCATCGCCCCTCCCTTATCAGAGTTGGGCAAACCTTGTTTTAGCAGGCAGTCGGGAAATTGTCGTCTTAAGTCCTCAAAAGACCAACGCACTAGAATAGCAACCCTCGACGATGGAGAGAAACTTATATCGGAAAGATCCAACCTAACACCACATGAACGGACGAACGTAGACTGGACCCAAATAGACCCATTTAAGACCAGCACCGACCGGATCCCGTGAGATTAAAGTTACCTGGAACTTCATGAGAATTAGTTTAATGATTTTCGTTAGCATGTTAATACATTGCCCCTCCAGCATCTTACATCGATCTTTAAAAGTTTAGATCTTCATGTTATTGCACACAAGCGAGGTGAGAGAATGTAAGAATATTTTAAATATTAAAGTGATCCATGTAATTTACGAAGATAATTCCAATTATATGTCATCTAGCGCAATGGTTACTAGACATGAGTGTTATAATTATCGGTTTAAATACCCTCTTCTCTCCCTTCATAAAATTAATTAATATGGTGTATATGTGTGTATACATCTTCATATACAAGTAGAGCCTATATGTATATGCACTACAAGAAAACAATTCTATGCCGAGTACCAAAATACTCGGGGGAACCCGAAAAGTACTTGGCAAAGACCGTTCAACATACCCCTGCCCGGCAAAGCAGCGTATGCCGAGTGCTGTTTGTCGGGTACTCGTCAAAGGCTTTGCCGAGTGCAACATGGGGATGCTCGGGAACGTAAAGCTTACCGACGACCGGCTGACGAAGACGATGGTGCCACATGGTACCTACCTTTGTCGAGAGTCTGTCGGGAATGCTGGACAAAAACAGTGCACCACATGTTTTGCCATGTGACACCAGGCTTTTCCGAGGTAATACTCGACATATATGTTTGCCGAGCACCGGTGCATGACAAACAATTCTGCCAGGGATTCCTATGGGCTACCATGTGTCTCGTAGTTTGCCAAGTGTCAAGCACGAGCTGCTTGGCATATCCTCTTTGCCGGGTACCGGTGCTCAACATGCAGTTTTGCTACGGATTCCTAGGGTCTGCCACGTGTCTCATAGTTTGCCAAGTGTTACCCATGGGCCACTTGGCATATCCTCTTTGCCGAGTGCTCTACCAAACACCCTTGGCAAACCTCCTACACCGAGCAGTGCCATTTGGCCCCGCTTTTCCATATTGGTCTTAGTTTCATGTGGGTGGTCTTTGATGGTGTTGTTTGGTAGTGTGGACAGCGACGATTTGTGTTTTTTGGTTTGTTGTCTTCTTCTCCGTCCGCCGAAGCATAACGAGTTTTGGCTTTCTTGGAGAGCTAGTGAGAGGTCTCAATAGTTATACTCTATAGCTAGATCTGCTCACCAGTGCGTCGTCGCCAACATCTTTGTCTCCAACCGGCGACTTTCTAGAACTACGTCAACAACGACACTCTTATCCTAGCTCCGAGAGTGTCCAAAGATTCAGAGGGATGTCGGGCTTGCCCACAGCGCGCGGCCGACAAGTGCAAGAGAAAAACAACGTCGTTGTACCAAACGACTGTGTGTGTTATTTTCTAGTTTTTAATGATGGCCTTGTAAGGGTCGGATGACTATAATATATGGTGGTGGCCTTCTCTTCTTAAAAATTTGCCATGACCGGCCTTCTTAGAACGGAGACACATCTCTGCGCCCATATACATACATACCCGCAAGTATATGAAACTGAAAAATGTGCGCGGTAAAGACGACTTTGAACGCTACAAAATTTACTTGATTCCACGTTGTGAACCAAAATTAGACAGATTTACTGTATGGAAGCTAGATTTGCATATTTCCAAAACAATCAGGCTTTCAAAACAGGATTTTTTTTTCCAATTTTTATATGGGTCTAAGAAACTAGAGAGGAGGGAGTACGATGCACAATAAGCATCCACATATTTGGACGGCCTGTAATAATAAAACAAAAAGGGAAATTTTGTAGCACCACGGCCTTTTCTGTTTATTTTTTCCATAAATATTTGTCGCACAAGCTCATGCTATGACAAATTTTGTTACACAACATGCAATGACATATAATGACTTCATTTGGTCAACTTAAACCTGGCCGTTTTTGTAAACCTGACTTTGTTAAATACTCCTGCCGTTCTATAATTCAAACTATAACCACGACAAAAGTTATGGAATAGAGGGAACAGATTTGACTAGGACATACATCATCCGCGGTGGTGCATCATAGTGTAGACACATACAATATTGCAATGTCAACTACTCCCTCCGTCTACTCTCTCAGGAAAAAAAAACACTTATGTTTTGCTGACTTGACATAGCATTAAATAAAATTAAGAGAGAAACATAAGAGTACGAGCTCGTGGGTCATCCATAAACAACCTGGATCAAGGCCATATATAAAAACAACCAGATATAGATCTTTGCAAGGTCGTCGAGCCTACATGCATGCCTAAATTATTGTCAACGGGCTGTTGGCGCCGCCTCCATGCAGCACCGCTTCTTCTTCCTCCTCTCAACTCTCTCTTCTCTCTTTGTTTCTCTCACGAGCACACGGATGGAAAACACTCAAGAGAAACACATACACACACAAGCACCAAGAGAAATCTAATGGCTTTGCAAAGGCACTCCCTTGATGGCACACCGTCGCTACATCTTTACATCCGCCCTCACGGCTCCACTTTTCTCATTCATCAGTCCAACTTAAATACTCAGTACAAGTGACCCACACGTAGCAAAGGCAGCTACCTGCCCGGTTCTCATGCCATGCACCACACGACTTGATCCACTAACCAACTAACTCACCCACTAACAAACTCCATGCGGCCACTCTCCGTCACGCACGCCCAGCTAGCTACCTGGAATATCTCCATGGCCTATGTGACGTGACTAACAAACTATGCATGCATTTGACTCGGCTAAACACACTGACCTACACACAAAATACTAGCTTGCATTAACACACATGAAAGCGTCTCTATGTATGCACATTGCCGCAGCTACTACTATATGCATGACTTGAAAAACATGAAATAATCTATCACCAAGATTAACCTAACACGGGCTACCAGTGCTTTGTGCTTTGGGTCGCTGTAATTGTGGAATTTGTCCTCTTTTTTTCTTCTTATGTTTCTCATAAAAACTGCCACGTACTCCATGCTAGCCAAACCAGCCACCATCCCAAACAGAGAAGGAAATTAGAGGCAACCAGAACAACCATTAGCTTTCTTATTAGAACAACCTTAGCTAGGCATATTGGTACCGAAGGAGTAACCAAGCACTCACATTGACAACGAAACATATCAGAAATCATAACATAACGTATTCATAGGTAGCGATTACTCCCTCCGTTCCCAAATATAAGTCATTTTAAGGATTTCAACAAGTGACTACATACGAAGCAAAATGAGTGAATCTACACTCTAAAATATGTCTCCATACATCCTTATGTAGTAGTCCATTTGAAATGATTAAAACAACTTATATTTAGGAACGTAGGCAGGACATGTTAGTAGATTGCTACTTAGTACATCCACTGGAATCATGGAGCCCTTTATTAGGAGGCGCCTAGTGAAAACTCTACGAAACACAAATGATGTGGAATAGTGAAATGAAGAGATTGGAAATGTGTGATGGGCTCCGATTCTAGCTTGTACGAAAAGGAAATTTAGGGGTATCCGGCACTGCCGGATCCGGATCCGCTACCTCCACCATTGCCGAACCCACCATTGTTGCTGCCACCACCGCCGCCACCCGTTCCAGCACCGGTTCCGGTGGCATAGCCTTGACCATAGGAACCAGTGCTACCAGTCTGTCCGCCCCCAATGCCAGAGCCAGAACCAACTCCCATGTTTGGACCTTGAGCTACACCTCCACCTTGGCCACCACCGTTGCCGCTGCCACTTCCACTGGCATTGCCTCCAGTAGTGTCATCGCTGGCGGCCTGTCCACCTCCAGCACCATTACCACCTCCACTTCCACCGTCGCCACCACCACCGCCAGTGCCAGCACCTCCAGCATCAGAGTAGCTGACACCACCAGCAGAAGGAGCTACAGCCGGGGTAGTTGCTATTCCACTCTCAGCTTCTCCTTTGCCAGCACCACTTCCAACTCCAGATCCGCTTGACCCATTTGCACCGCCACCTGCACCCCCACCCCCACCCTGACCATCAGCATTGGCGTACCCACTGCCACTAGGGGCTGACGCCGAGCCACTCGAACCAACACCGTTGCCACCGCCAGAGCCGGAACCAGATCCGGATCCGCCTTGAGAACCACCGCCAGCACCATTCCCCCCTCCTCCACCAGCTCCCTTGGCAAAGTTATACTTGTTATTGGCATCTCCACCACTCTCGCCATATCCCAAGCCACCACCTCCTCCGGCCCCATGGCCCCATCCACTCCCAGTCCCATTCGACGAGCCGCCTCCGCCTCCCCCGCTTCCACCTCCAGAACTGGAAGAGCTAGCGAGCATCCTCGAAGCATTGGTGAACCCAATGCTCACGAGAACAACAAAGCCAAGAGCTACAAGCTTAGTGCTAGTAGCCATTGTGAGTGAGCTCGGTGTAGTGTGAGATGGATTGGGTGTTGAAAGAAGAGAGGGCTGCGTGGGTTTATATAGTAGTGGAACCGGTGCATGGGTGATGCATGGATGATGAGTATTGGATCTTACACGCAGAAGGCGCGCGAGCTTTGGGTTGTGAACTGAATGAGTGATCCCATGAGAAGTTCACTAATCACAGTAGCATGCATCGTTGATTGCACTCCCACTGCATTCATCGATCATGCAAATCTGTGCATATCTTTCTTTAATCGGTAATTAATTGGTGAGAACTGGTCAGCTGTAGAAGGGTCAGAAGATACGTATACTGACGCTTGATTGAGATTCCATCTCCTGACAGACAGATTAACTACTGTAATTATTTTCTCTCCACCACATGAAAGAACGCGACTTGCCTTTACTCGATACGCACGCATGAACTGGAAGCCGTGGTTCACAGGGAATCCTTTGACATTGCACTTAATGAATGCCACTTGACCATTATGAATCATGAACACCGCGGATATATGGAGAAAAACAAGATACGTACAGCAAGTACACTTACCGTACGTAAGGCATGTGTTTACTGTAATTACCAACAGAAAATGATGTAATGTTTTTGCTTAAGTAGTGACTCCCCTAACCGTAAGGTTCATGCATTACATTAACACTGGTACTCGTAGAATCACATGAGCTTGGTATGCGGAAGATGGAGCCGAGCTCTGACCGCCCATCTGACGTCGTTCTTCGTCGTCCATCGTCGGTGATGCAGTTTGAGAAAGGCTCCAGCTTAGCCCGTAGCTATAGCCACCAGGTGAGTAATCTTATGGTAGACGGCGAAGGAGAGTGTTGACCTAGATTAATTGCATACTACTCCTAGGGTTTAAAGCTAGTAATACAGCTAGCTGCGACCTAGGGTTTAACGCGTCCTCGAAGTTCAGAAATTAGACCACGTACTGTAATATACAGACAGGAACACACTTGGAGTATGCTATTGCTATATTTGGGATCGTTATGGCGACGCAAACGCCGAGAGTTGACCTACCCCAGGCTTAGGACTTCGTATTCGATTCTCCAGCTACCATCTTAACTAGCAGGCCATCTTGAGTATGGTTAATAGTATAGCCAGCTGCTGGCTATAAGCCAGTGTCATGTCATATACAGTCCATCTTATAGCCAACATGTATAATATTAGATTAAAGAGTGTATTATTTTTTTATTATGTGGCCCATCTTTCATTCTTATAAAGTGTCTAGAGCATGTGCTAGAGTTGTGAAGAGCCTGTTTACCTTCTCTCTCCTCTTTTCTTTCCTCCAACTAAGCAGAAATATATTAGTTTATTTCTTATAGCCCGACTCAGCTCTATTGTACTTGCTTTAATTGACGGGATCCGATCTTTAATATTTTATGATGGATATAGGTAGATTAGCATGTTTCCATTACCGGAGATGTGGTTAATCCATTGCCCCTCCATCGTTGCAGCTCTACACACTACCATCGATGAAATGTGTGGCCTTACTGCCGTGCTCTATGGCTGGAACCCTCCTTCTATGTCATGTCAATCTTTCTCTCTCAGCGATTCTCACCTATTAGAATAATACAAGACACATCATCGATCATTCAAGGACCTAGCACTCACACGAGGAACGACAGAGAGTTAACAAGGTTCATCAATATGGCTACATCCAGAGAGTCTGACTATGAACACTCAACATGTTTTGCCATGTGACACTTGGCTTTTCCGAGTGTCCATGTGTAACACCCACGATGCAGCTATATCTCCAAGAGCCCGTTTCTCTTCTCTCTTCTCTTCTCTCTTCTCTTCTCTTTCCTCCAACTAAGCATAGATATATTATTCTATTCCTTATAGCCTGCCTATGTCATCCTATTATACTACTTGCTATAAGAAGACCATTTTTCTTAATTGGTAATTAATTCGTCGTCTATCATGTCAGTACAAAGAACACCGAAGGTTGCAAAAATTACAACCAGGTCGGTAGATCACCTAGCGACGACTACACACTAGTAGAAAACAGGGCTATGGTCCAGGCCGGGTCAGCCTATTAGTCCCGGTTCAGTCTAGAACCGGGACCAATGTAGGCATTGGTCCTGGGCCCAGGGGGCCGGCCGGGCCACGTGGGCCATTGGTCCCGGTTCATCTGGACCTTTTGGTCCGGTTGGTGGGATGAACCGGGACCAATGGGCCTCGCTCCTGGCCCACCACTATTGGTCCCGGTTGGTGGCTTGAACCGGGACCAAAGGCTCCCCTTTAGTCCCGGCTCATGTCACCAACCGGGACCAATGAGGTGCCTATATATACCCCCTCACGCAAGAGCAGAGCATAGTGCTCTATTTTTTCTGGCCGAGGGGGAGAGGGCTTTGTGGTGCTCTAGCTCACCTCCTATGCACATGAGGTGTTCGATGGAATGCCCGAGCCACACTACTTAAGCTTTCTCCTCTCGAAGCTCGACCTCCAAACTCCATTTTCCTCGAGATTTGTCTAGATTTAGCGGTCCGTCACGCCCCGTCCCGTCTTCACCACCGTCGATCACCCACGCCGATCTCATCACCGACACCACCGTGGTGAGCCTCTTGTTCTTATCTTCTTTCTGAAAGGAAAAATATTCTTACTTGTATGTTTAGATAGATACTTGTATCATTTTCTTACATTTATTATTGCATCTTATATAGTGCGATGGTTTTGGTATCCGCCCCCGTCGGCCCTCGTCCTGTCTATGATTCGGATGTGGTATGTATATTATCTTTATAACTATTGGTTCATTTACTGTTTATGAAAATTATGCCGACCAACGTGACATAGATTTTATTTATCTAGGATGTATGTGAATCGGAAATGCCAACCGACCCTATTGTCGAGAGGTTAAATTTAGTTGAAGAAGAAAACAATTTGTTGAAGGAAAAAATAAAAAAAATTGAGGAGGAGAAGATGATATTGGAGTTGCATGTTGCGGATGTCGTCGATGATCACAAGATCAAGATGGACGCAATGCGCTTGAAGATTAGAAAGATTAGAAAATATGCCATTCATACCAAGGCTTGGTATCATTATGCCGTTGGATCAATTGTTACCTTGGTTGCGATTATGATCGCATTTTTTTTCGCATTGAAATGTTTTACATAGTTTCAATGTATGGTTTAATTAATTAGATGCTCTGGAGAGCTATATGTTGTTAGATGAGAACTATGTATGCACTTTGGTTTTAATGTGATGATGAACTTCTATTAATTTGGACACTTAATTATATATAATGCACGCAGATGAACCGGCAATGGATGTACGGTGACAGACACACCCGCGAGTACATTAAGGGCGTGCATGAGTTTCTCGATGCGGCTGAGGCAAACAAGCAGAATGGTTTTATGTGTTGTCCATGCACCGAATGTGGGAATACGAGGTCTTACTCTAACCGGAAAGTCCTTCACTCCCACCTGCTTTACAAGGGTTTCATGCCACACTATAATGTTTGGACGAGGCACGGAGAAATAGGGGTTATGATGGAAGATGGCGAAGAAGAACAGTACGATGACAACTATGTGCCCCCTGAATACGGTGATGCTGCAACGGGGGGAGCTGGTGAATATCAAGAGGAACCAGACGATGTGCCCAATGATGCTGCCACGGGTGAAGCTGCTGAAGATCAAGAGGAACCAGACAATGTGCCCGATGATGATGATCTCCGCCGGGTCATTGTCGATGCAAGGACGCAATGCATTAGTTAAAAGGAGAAGCTGAAGTTCGATCGCATGTTAGAAGATCACAAAAAAGGGTTATACCCCAATTGCGAAGATGGCAACACAAAGCTCGGTACCGTACTGGAATTGCTGCAGTAGAAGGCAGAGAATGCTGTGGCTGACAAAGGATTTGAGAAGCTACCGAAAATATTGAAGAAGAAGCTTCCAAAGGATAACGAATTGCCCGACAGTACATACGCAACAAAGAAGGTCGTATGCCCTCTAGGATTGGAGGTGGAGAAGATACATGCATGCCCTAATGACTGCATCCTCTACCGCGGTGCATACAAGGATCTGAACGCATGCCCGGTATGCGGTGCATTGCGGTATAAGATCAGACGAGATGACCCTGGTGATGTTGACGGCGAGCCCCCCAGGAAGAGGGTTCCTGCGAAGGTGATGTGGTATGCTCCTATAATACCACGGTTGAAACGTCTGTTCAAAAACGAAGAGCATGCCAAGTTGATGCGATGGCACAGTGAGAACCGAAAAGAAAGATGGGAAGTTGAGAGCACCCGCTGACGGGTCGCGGTGGAGAAAAATCGAGAGAAAGTACTGGGATGAGTTTGCAAAGGACCCAAGGAATGTATGGTTTGCTTTAAGCGCGGATGGCATTAATCCTTTCGGGGAGCAGAGGAGCAATCACAGCACCTGGCCCGTGACTCTATGTATGTATAACCTTCCTCCTTGGATGTGCATGAAGCGGAAGTTCATTATGATGCCAGTTCTCATCCAAGGCCCTAAGCAACCCGGCAACGACATTGATGTGTACCTAAGGCCATTAGTTGAAGAACTTTTACAGCTTTGGAATGTTAACGGTGTACGTACGTGGGATGAGCACAGACAGGAGGAATTTAACCTTAAGGCGTTGATGTTCGTGACCATCAACGATTGGCCCGCTCTCAGTAACCTTTCAGGACAGACAAACAAAGGATACCACGCATGCACGCACTGTTTAGATGACACTAAAAGTATATACCTAGACAAATGCAGGAAGAATGTGTACCTGGGACATCGTCGATTTCTTCCGACCAACCATCAATGTCGAAAGAAAGGCAAGCATTTCAAAGGCGAGGCAGATCACCGGAAGAAGCCCGCCATGCGCACCGGTGATCACGTGCTTGCTATGGTC